CCCCCCGGGGGGGGGGGGGGGCCGTCAAGTTCTCACCTTTAACCGCTAGGCGAATGCTCAAACTGAGCTTAGAGAAGACGCGACTCCTTTCGGTGTCCTTGGGACCCTTGATGTGCCGGACTTTGGACCACTTGTTGTGCCCGGCGAGGACTTCTGCCGTGAGGTGCAGCGTCCGGCCCCCACAGGGGCTACAGCCTGGGGACTCAGGCTGGAAGGCCGGGGGAAAGAGCGGAAGAGCCACCCGGACCCCGGGGCCTCGCAACCACAAGCACTGGGCAGCGGCCCTGCTCAAGGTGACAGAGGCCCAAGCCGCCATCGGCTCCGACCCTGGGCCAAAGTCAGCAAGAGCAGTGGCCGAGGTCAGTCCGCCGAGTCCGCCACCGAAACAAGCAGGTCCAGAGCCTGCGGCCTCCTCAACCCGTCACTGGAGAGCCAAAGGCTCAGGCCCACCCCGGGCAGGCGGAACACGAAGTACGCCGCACCTTCACCGCGGCAGCCCACTCCGGGCAGCCGGAACACGAAGTGCGCCGCACCTTCCCCGCGGCAGCCGGGAGCGGGTACATTCAGTGGTGGAGCACACTTCCTTTTCCCGGTCCGTTCCAAAAACGCGTCCCCACCGCCCACAAAAGCCGTTCCGTCGCGTGGTACTTGCTTTTCTGTTGCTTGCAGCTGCGCAGAGCCTGGGCGGAGGTGGGGCAACCCTGAGCTCAATCCGTCCTGGTTGCCTGGGGAGCGCCGGACTTTACTTCCCACAATGATCTAGTAGAGATACATCTTAGTTATGAAACTGATTTTGCTTCAGAATGACTTCCCAACTCTAAGCAGGCCTAGAATGGTAAATGTTTTGTTGTTGCAAAGAAATAGGTAGTTCGATCACTTCACTTGAAGGTAGGGAAATCGCCGCCCAGAGATGTGATTTATCCAATCATTTAGCCTCTCTGAACTTCCTCTTCGATATCTGTAAATAAGGATGCTCCTACTTGCTTTACCAACGTAAGAGGGTTGAAAAAAGCTCTTGGAGCTTTAAAGTAATAAAATCTTATGTAAATAGCAGCAGCGATCATAGTGATGAAGTCCCTAAATGCAAGAGACGCTTGCCATCCTGGAGAGGGAGGATGCTCAGAAGAGTTTCCTGGAGCCTAATTCCCCTCTGCATTTTCCCTCTGCTCTCCCAGAAGAGAAAACCGATGCCATTAGGAGGAGAAGGTACAGAACAAACAAAGCAGCAACTGTGAACAACTTTCCAGTGGCTCCCCAGGCTGGTGAGATTAAATCCAAGAACTTGGTGTGTTAGATAGAGGGCAGGTTAAGTTTGTGGCCTCTGGTCTGAACTGGTGGGTTCAAACCTCGGTTGTTACACTTACTTGTGTAACCTTGGGCAAGTTCCTTTACTTTCCTATATCTCAGTTTTCTTACCTGTAGAATGGCCTTGCTATGATTAAATGGGATAATGGATAAAATACACAGGCATAGGTTTTATGTTATTTTCTAGTTATTATGTAAGAACCTTCGAAATCTCAGATCTACTCATTTTTCTGGTCTCATGTCCTGACACTACAGTCCAGTTGGAGGGAATTATACTCACTGTACGCTGAATACAAGTTCTTTATCACCTCTTTGCCCCTATCTGCTTGGAGTGAACTTCATTGTCTCGGTGATAAAATCTTCATCATGCTTCAAGACCCAGTTCAGCTGTCCCCTCCTTGGTTAAAGCCTTCCTAAGAGTCCTTCTTTGAGTTGGTTTTTTTTTTTTTTGCGGTACGCGGGCCTCTCACTGTTGTGGCCTCTCCCGTTGCGGAGCACAGGCTCCGGACCCGCAGGCTCAGCGGCCATGGCTCACGGGCCCAGCCACTCCGCGGCATGTGGGATCCTCCCGGACCGGGGCACGAACCCGCGCCCCCTGCATCGGCAGGCAGACTCTCAACCGCCGCGCCACCAGGGAAGCCCCCCTTCTTTGAGTTTTTAGCTGTAACTAATAGTGCACTTATGAATTGTTAATTTATTATTTTTTATTATCGAAGCTACTTGGGCTGGGCACTCTCTTCCTTGTACTTTGCAGATTATGTAGAAACACCAGATTGCTCCTACTCCTTCTCCCAATTCTTGTATTAAGCACAAACCTGTGTCTTTGCTGTTCTACCTCACTTCTGGCTAATTTTTGTTCTTCCTTCAAGATTCAGCTCAGGCATCATTTCCCACCAGAGGAAAACATCTGCAAATTCTCCGTTTGGGTTCAGATGCCCTACTCTGTGTGTTCACATAACCCTTCATACATGTCTGTACCTTAACACTTACTTTTTTAATATCAAAATGTTTGTCTCTGCCATCATATTAAATTCTTTGAGAGCAGGACTGTACTCCTGTGCCCAGTACAGCTTTTTTTTTTTTAACAAAAACTTTACTGACATGTAATTTGAATATCATACAAATCACCAATTTAAAGTGTACAATGTTTTTTAGTATATTCAGATTTGTGCAGCCATCACCAAAATTTTACATTTTCATCACTCCCTAAAGAAAGTACCCATTAGCAGTTACTCCCCATTTTCCCCAGTTCCCCCAGTCCTAGGCAACCACCAATTTACTTCTGTCTCTATGGGTCTGCCTATTCTGGACATTTCATATGAATGGAATCATACAATATGTGGTTCTTTTGACTGGCTTCTTTCATTTATCATAATGTTTTCAGGGTTCATCCATGTTGTTAACTAATGTTCCATTGCATGAATATACCACTTTTTATTTATCCATTCATCAGTTGATGGACATTTGGGTTTTTTCCACCTTTTGACCATTCTGAATAATGCTGTTATGAACGTTCACATACAGGTTTTTGCGTAGACATATATTTTCATTTCTCTTGGGTATATTCCTAGGAGTGGAATTGGTGAGTCATACAGTAACTCTGTTTGATCTTTTGAGGAACTGCCAGAGTGTTTTCCAAAATGGTTGCATTGTTTACATCCCTACCAGTAATGTATGAGGGTTCCAATTTCTCCACATCCTTGCCAAAACTTGTTATCATCTCTTTTTGACTCTAGCTGTTGTCATCCTAGTGGGTATGAAGTGGTATTTCATTGTGGTTTTGTTTGTTTGTTTTTTCTCATTGTGGTTTTGATTTCTATTTCCCAGATGACTAATGATGTTGATCATCTTTTCATGTGCTTGCTAGCTATTCATATAGAGTATTACTTTTTGTAATTTAAAAATATAGCTTAGGGGCTTCCCTGGTGGCACAGTGGTTAAGAATCCGCCTGCCAATGCAGGGGAGAGGGGTTTGAGCCCTGGTCAGGGAAGATCACACATGCCACGGAGCAACTAAGCCCCCAAGCCACAACTACTGAGCCCGCGTGCCACAACTACTGAAGCCCGCGTGCCTAGAGCCCGTGCTCCACAACAAGAGAAGCCACCACAATGAGGAGCCTGCGCACTGCAATGAAGAGTAGCCCCTACTCACCGCAACTAGAGAAAGCTCGCGTGCAGAAACAGACCCAACACAGCCAAAATAAATAAAAATAAAAATAAGAATAAAAAATAAGAATATAGCTTAACATAAATGTTACTTCAAGTAGCAAAAAGCAAATGAAGGAAATCTATAATCACAAATAAGAGTAGAGGCCAAGGGCTTCCCTGGTGGCACAGTGGTTGAGAACCTGCCTCAGGGGACACAAGAATATAGCTTAACATAAATGTTACTTCAAGTAGCAAAAAGCAAATGAAGGAAATCTATAATCACAAATAAGAGTAGAGGCCAAGGGCTTCCCTGGTGGCACAGTGGTTGAGAACCTGCCTGCCAATGCAGGGGACACGGGTTCGAGCCCTGGTTTGAGGGATCCCACATGCCGCGGAGCAACTGGGCCCGTGAGCCACAACTACTGAGCCAGCGCATCTGGAGCCTGTGCTCCACAACAAGAGAGGCCGCGACAGTGAGAGGCACGTGCACTGCGATGAGAAGTGGCCTCCGCTCGCTGCAACTAGAGAAAGCCCTCGTACAGAAACAAAGACCCAACACAGCCAAAAATAAATTAATTAATTAAAAATAAAAATGAGTAGAGGCCAAAACAAAGTTTGAGATAGTCCTGGTCCAATCATCCTAAACCCACCAGGGAAAAGCTGTAGTCCAACAATGTCAGGCTATCAACTCACTGCAACAAGGCAAACTGCACACCAGAGGGATGGTGGAGTGTCTCACTAAAGGAAAAGATCGCTATTATATAATTATGGGAATGAGTGGAGGTTAGGTGAAATTTCAGTGAAACAGGGTTTGATATACTCAAAGGAATACAGAGTTATATGAAAAGAGAGTCAACATCAGCTCTGGACTACAAAGTGGACCCAAGGTTAAGTTTCCTCGAAAACTACAATGTTAAATGTGGAAAGTTGTGTTCAGAAAGCCCTGAAGTTCTACACCTGTGTTGGAAATCAAGGCTGCTTTTCTGTCAAAGCAACTTAGATTCTCCAAGCAAGACTGTAAGGCTTCAGTCTCACTGGACATAATTTCAAACAGCAAACTTCCCGACAGTCTATGATTTTATTTATTTATTTATTTATTTATTTATTTATTTATTTATTTTTGGCCACACCACGTGGCATGCGGGATCTTAGTTCCTCGACCAGGGATTGAACCCTGCAGTGGAAGCATGGACTCATCGCTGGACCACCAGGGAATTCCCAGTCTGATTTTAGAGAACAGTTTCTTAGTGAATTTTTAAAAGTCACCCAGAGAAGGGAATTATTATCTGATAAGTTGCAGTGTGTGCTTGGGAGAAATATTGTTTCCTGTTAACTTTGCACCTGGTTTTATCTGTGTCTGTTTATCTGTGATGAATGGCAGGGCAGATTTTTACTTTCTCAGTCTGAGCTAATATTCATGTCTCAAAATGAATTCACAGGTGACTGAACCATTCCTAGAAACCTGGCTGTCAAGATCATTGAGAAAACTTTTTTTTTGGGGGGTGCTGCTTTGGGTCTTTGTTGCTGCACGCAGGTTACTCTTCGTTGCAGTGCGTGCAGTGGCTGCACTGCAGTGCAGTGCTTCTCTTGTTGCAGTGGCTTCTCTTGTTGCAGAGCATGGGTTCTAGAGTAGAGGCTCAGTAGTTGTGGCACAGGGGCTTAGTTGCTTCACGGCATGTGGGATCTTCCAGAACCAGGGCTCGAACCTGTGTCCCCTGAATTGGCAGGCGGATTCCCAACCACTGTACCACCAGGGAAGTCCCTGAAATTTTTAACTGATGATGAACCTTGGATTCTAAAGACTGGCTGAAGGCATCATTCTACTAGGTTTGAACAGGTGTCGTCTAGTACTAATGGCTCTCAGTGAGTAGAACCACACTCGTTACTATTCCAGATTCTCTTGCTAATTTGATGGTGTGGTGGAGATGTTACTTTATTTCCTCTTCCTAGGCACATAGGAAAAATACATTCCTTACAGTTAGGTTGAATGACGTGACTAAAGTGGAAGGCACTTACTAAATACTGGCTCACTGAACCAATCAAAATTTCTTTCTTCTTTTC